CCTAGACCATGATTTCATGTGCATTCATGGCCACTATAATGCCCAAGCCCCCTGGCTCAGTCCCTCAGAGATGTGGCAGCACAACGACACTGACAAATGCGCTCGCGCCTCAGGTCAGGGATCTCTATACAAAGGGCCCGAAAGGGCCCTAGACCATGATTTCATGTGCATTCATGGCCAGTAATGCCGAAGCCCCCTGTCTCGGTCCCTCAGGTGGCAGCACAACGACACTGACAAATTCAAATGCGCTCGCGCCTCAGGTCAGGGATCTTTACAAAGGGCCCGAAAGGGCCCTAGACCATGATTTCATGTGCATTCATTGCACTCGCGCCTCAGGTCAGGGATCTCGGTTGGGGCGGGGGGGGGGGCGGAAGAAGGGTGGAGGGGGGGGTGGTGTGGGGTGGGTGGGGGTGGGGAGGTATATCTTCCGGTCTGTGCGGTTAAAGCTTTAGGGTTTAGGGGTTGTCGTTGTCGTTGCTGTGGTGGTGGTTGTTGTTGTTGTTGTTGCTGCTGTGGTTGTGGTTGTGGTTGTGGTTGTGGTGGTTGCTGTTGTTGCTGCTGCTGGTGTCATTTGCCTTGGTGTTGTTGGCACTGTTGTTGGTGCTGGAGCTGGTGCTGGTGGCATGCGTCTTTGTGTCTCAGTTGTTGTTGTTGCTCTGTTTTGCTTTAGATTCTCTTTCTCTTTTTTCTAACTTATGTTACCCCATGTTAACTTATGTTAACTTTTTATACAACTTGCCTAACCTCCTAGTAACATCTATAACTTATACACACGCACAGTCATGGTGGGAAGAACTTGCTCAGGTTTCGCGCATGAGAACGCATGAGGCTAAGACTCAAGTTTTCTGTCGGAGCCCAATTCTACTGATACGGCGGACGTGCTCGCAGCCTCGCTGGGTTCCTCGGACCGGCCTTTGACACCGAAAGAGCAGAAACGGAAGGACAAGGCGGCTTACGCGGCGAGTCGCGTTGCTCTGCTCCCAGTCTCTCTGAAGATGCGCGCGGCCCTTGGCGCTACAGTTTTTAGCCCGATCGCGGCTTGGGCTTGCCTTCTGAATGGCCGGGTCCCGGACGCTGCGGAGCTCAGTTGGTACTTCACGACTTTCAGGAAAGCGATGAAGGGGGGCGATGCTAAAGGCCGATCGCAGCTGCAGAGACATGCAGAGGCTTGTGCTGCTGGGTCACACAGCAGACCTCTCAGTGGTTGCGGCCTGCAGGGTGCTTAAGGCCACTGCAAGATGGGCCTCCTACAAGCTTAGGATTGGCCGGAGCCCACAACGCGCGGCCCTCATGACTGCGAGACCGGTCACGGCCTTAGATTCCTGTCTACCTGCTCTCTGGAGGAATAGCGGCCACATGGAACATCCTTGCGGACAGTGCTGCTCAGCAGCGCGCTGCGCATGAAGTGCGTGAGACATGGCGCCTTACGAGACTGCAGCGGTGGCTGGCTGCTAATCGTAACGATGCTCGTAGCGAAGGCTTGCAAGCTTCCTTTGCCTTGGTCAAGCGCTTGCGCGGGATCGCAGGCCAGGTCGATGGGGTCTCCATTATGCGCGGGAGCTTCGCTCATGACGCGCGTTGGACGCCTGCTGGTCCAGTGCGTGACATGTGTCATGACTGCATGCAACCGATCGCTCTGCACTCGAAGCACGTAATGTGGGATTGTGTGGCACACGCACAGCTCCGCACAGCAAGCGCCCCGTTCTCGGCACTTGCTCAACGCTTAGGCTGGGGGTCTCAGGACACGCCAACGAAAGAGTGTGGCAAGTATTCGTGCCGCAGACGTGGCAGGGAGACGTAAGCGTGCTCCCTGGAGGGAAGGCTGAGCTGCCTTCTAATGCTGCTATACGGCATGGCCGCCTGGCTTAGGAACCGCTGAGACTTCTGAAGCCTTTTGTCTGCCAGGCAGGTGCTCAGGAGTATAAGGGCTGTGAGCCCTCAGCCAAGGAGATGCGTTGGTTCCAGCGGGGAGTCATCGTCCCCCTCGTCGGCACTTCCGCGGCGAGCTGGAGTGCAGGCGACACGGCTTTTCGCCCTCAGCTAAGGAGATGCATTGGCTTGGCTTATGGTCTCATGGCCTCCTCTTCTTCATCGGCACCACCGCAGTGTAACGGAGCGCCGACAACCAACTTTCCCCCATCAAAGAACAGCTGCCATCGCCATACAGCCCGCATAGTTAAGCATTGTAATTCATGTCTGATGCGGGAAACTATACTGCTGCGGAGGGGACCTGCCGTACCCCCAATCCGCAGCAGCAGGGGCAGGTCCGTGCAGCAGCACGGGCTTGGGGGAGTGGCGGGGGTGGGGGCTATAGGGGGGTGGGGGGGGGGGAATACCATGGGGTGGTGGGGGGGGGGGAGGGGTGGTGGCCCGGGACCCGAAAGCATGTATGTCTGTCTGCCTGTCTATATTATAATTGTGTGTATGTATGTATGTATGTATGTATGTACGTATGTATGCATGTATGCATGTATGTCTGTATGTCTGCATGTCTGTATGTCTGTCTGTATATTTGTATGACTGTATGTCTGTATGTGTGCATGCATGCATGGATGGATGTATGTATGTATGTAAAAGACATAAACTCCATAAACACGACACAGGATCTCAGCCGAGGCGCAAACAGTCGCACTGGCACAATCCACCCTGGGTGCGGAGGTAGGCGCAATCTACAACTATACCCGGTTAAAGCTGAGGAAAACCCGCAGTGCTCTCCGCATCCTCAGCGCGACGTTTGCGGAGGACGGGTGCAGCCAGCAAAGCTCGGCAAATGGAGTTGTTTTGTTTAGGTCGTGCGCGAGTGCCAGAAGCCTATCAAGCCTTTCATTGTCGATGGGGTTGTATCGCATTTGGCTTCAAGCTGGACTGAGAGACTGATGTGCGCGGCCTCACGTTGCAGTCCGAAGGAGTTAGGCCCAGTCAGGCTCGCCGCTGTCTGAACGAAAATGGCATTGAATTAGGACCGGCATGTACGTTTTGTGAGAGCCGACAACGTCAGGAAATGAAATCTGACAATCTGTCTTCCCTGAGATGTCCAAAACCCGAGCACCTTGGAATGTACACCTCGCACACAGCCCGAGGGACTCGTGAAGAAGCGGTACCGTGCGCTGGTCCGGGGAAGCTTTCCACTGGGATTTGAAGGGCGCAGTGAGGAGCCACTGCTCCTCGGCTGAAGTCCGTTGGGTCCTTTTGGTTACTCATCGCCGTGCTCCGCTCCCGAATACAGTAGGTTTGCGTCAAGAAGTTTGGGGAAGCATCTCCGCTAAAAGTAGCTTTGTTCCAGATGGAAGGACATGGTAGTGTCAGGAAAATCAATTCCAGCCCTCACTCAGCCTTTTTGCATCGATCGGTCCAATCCCCAAGAATCCTTCCAGATCCAATTTGTTGCAGACTTAGATCAGGTACGGAAAGAGGTCCGTCACCCGCTTCACAAGCGTGGTTGCTCCTGTCGAGACGCCTCAAGGGCCAGCCCTTCGCTGCATCTTTGTAGGCCGAGAAGTGTTCTACCAGTCATGGTGAGTCTCGGTTTACAACCAAGCTTGCAGTACGGTAAAACGGCACAATGGAGTACCAAGCACATGTCAATGATGGATGCATGCTCGCGGTTTCGAGAAGCTGCAAATGAGAGTGCGGCATTGCACTCTGTGAAAGGGACTTCTCGTTTTTGGCTGTTACGACTCGACAGAGGTCAGCACTTTGGATCTATGGCCGGAGTCGGGAAGACGGCACCAGCTTCGCCGACATTTGTCAATGCTTGGCTCTCCGATAATAGGCCTCCCGGTGGATTGGCTATTCGCCGGATGTGCAGCAGTGCAGGGCTGAAGCCTCAAAGTAGTTAAAGGGTATTCAGTATTCAAACCTGGTGAGTGGCAAATGCATTCATCCACATCCCCAATAAAAGACAGGCTTCCTACCTCACGCCAACAGAACACCGGATTCGGGCAAAGGCATGTGGAGCGCAAAAAATCAATTGTGATGTTTGCTAGTGTTGTGGTTATATCATCCCAGTCCGAGTTAGGAGTCTAACTGTGTCGACAACGAGACTTGAGTTTGTCCTCGTACTTATGTTGCTTGCTTCCGCCGATGCCGCTCCAAGACCGCATAGCTGCTGTCTGTCAGCTTGCTGCATCGGTTGCAGCAGGTCAAAGAAAGGGATGCGGCAAAGTCTCTCTCCATCGAGTCTTGCATTACTGGTGGGGATCGCGGAAGGAACCAAGGAGGGAAGGAGAAGAAAAAACGCAGGGCTCAGAGGCTGGAAAATGGAACAAAATAGGATAGGGGTGCAGAGCTTCCAGGAGACAAGGAAAGAACGTCCTGTTTTTTACCTGTTTTCCGGAAGCTGCTGGTGTTGTGGAATTGCAAGTTGTAGGGTTTGTTTGTTTGCAAGCTCTCGGGCGGAATGCCACTGAACGCGTTTTTGCTTTGCAAAGCCAAGACAAAACACGACAAGTCGCACCACAACGATGTCTTTCTGATGTTATGCGACGTTATGCGAGAATATGTCTTTAACACCAGCTTAAAACATGTCTAACGCATCAAGCCTATTTCGTCCATTCTTGTCCCTACCTGGATTTTATTCTGGCGCTGCTTGGCTTGGTGCCTGGTTTTTTTTGGCAAGCCCGCACCGGCAAATGCGAGTTCTCCAATAGCTTAGCACATAGAGTCATGGAGGGATCCTGCAAACTGAAATTCCCAGAAGGTAGGGCCGCCGTGCAAATTGGAATTTTCCAACAGCTTGACACAAAACTCCGCCCCCACTCTGCAAAACACAACAACCAATGTCCAAAAGAAACTTATCCCAAGTGATCGTGATTTGCGGAAAGTTCTCATCGATTTTTCCGCCCGCTTTCGCTGAGAGCCTGGGTGGTATATATGTAGGTGACCGACGCTACGGTGGGCGCGACGACCGAGCCGCCAAAGAGGAGGCACGGGGATCAACAAAAATCTACACCCTGTAGAGTCGAAATCAGGCAGGTGGTTCTAGGCCCGGCTTAATTAGGTTGCGTTGGGCAAGCACGGGTGTGGTTTCAGCAAGCTAAACGCCTAGACTCAGGCCGAGTTTATAGGCTAGGTTCGGCTAATTAAGGCAGCAGTACGCGTGGGGAAGGTCCGGTGTGTTAAGTTGAATTAGGTTAGGGTGGGTTGTGTCGGGTCAGGTAAGGCCATAGTTTCGTTCATGTCCAAAAAATTCGAGAGCGAATGCAGCCTGTGCGCGACAGCACTCACGTATAATGTCTTGGTCATGAAGCAGACATTGCAGAATCAACATTGTATGATATGTCAAAACATGGTACGCCGAGACCGTCATCATCTTAGCAAGCTGATAGACTTGCAAACAAGACCCAGTCATAGCTTCGGGACGCGTATGACATCGTCTTGCGGCCTTGCGTGCTTGCTGCCTCGGCAGGTTGCCCAATGCCTAATTGCAAGAAGCAAAAGACAGAAATAGCAGCAGTTGAATGCGTCATTTGAGGATCAACGGCCGGACAACAAAGAGCATCACGATGACGATGCTGACGAAGCCCCTGGCATGCCAATAAGTGGAACTTCTCGAGTCTTGTACATGCATAAGTTATTCGCACAAGTGCAGAATCGCATAAGGGTATATGCCGCGAGCCTCCCCCAAGTGTGAGTGTCACGAGCAGCTACAAAGCCAGTGCCTACAGGGTCGGGGCTTTCAAACTGCACTACATGTGACTGTTCATGATCGTCAGCACCAATCCCATATGGCTGTATCTCTTGCTGCAGCAGATGCAACGCGTCGCACTAGAGATTCGCTCTACATGGCTGCACTAGCTGGTGCAGTTTTGCTTTCCATTTCTTCTCTGTCCTAGCTGTTCTGGCCCGAAGCGTGGTCAGCGTAGCCTCGACAGCACGTGTAGTGGGCTGCTGGAGAGAGGGCAGTATTTAAGTCAGCTCGTGCGAGGTGATGCGCAGGACCTACACAGCAGACCAAAGCAAATCCAAACAAGCCAGATCCACGGAGTTTTTCATGATCAACTTCTGCGCAGATGGCGTCGAAAGATCGTCCCTCTTCCAGAAGCAGAGCATTGACATATGCCGAGGGTGCAGCTGCTTCCGGTGCCTCGCCTGCTCCTTCCGCATTTGTGCAGACAACATAAACCACGAGTGATGGATTCGTGCGATTGTCTTGACTCAGCAACCTAGGTATTCTTCCTGCGAGCCCCAGAGAGGAGAGCCGATCTCAAGGATCGACGGCTTCTCGTGCCTTCCGCAGCCTCTTTCCGAGGCTTGGTCCGGGCCCCGGCAAGCCAGCACGCTCAGCGGCAAGGAAAGCCACCACGCTCCCGGGATCGGAGGCTTTGCCTGACCTGAGCTACGGCGAAGGTGACAGTCGGCCGTTAACTGGCATAGGCCATTCAAGAGCAGCGGCTCAGCCTGAGGAGCGAGAGCGAGCTCTGCTCGGCGGCATGGCGGGTGCTCGGCCGAGGCGTGATGTTGGGTCGCCAAGTAGCAGGTCTAAGCCCAAGAAGGCCACCACCTTCAGTGGTCCAGAAGCAATATCTCGCCCGTGGACTTCTGGTAGTAGTTTCCGTACACCGTCGCGGACGAGCTCCAAAAAGGCCGAGACGGTCGACTTGCTGGATACCATGAGCTCCGACCTGCTTTCCACGGAGGAGAAAGCCTCACGGCGCTTCTCCTTTGCAGAGGAGTCCTTGCCCGACATAGCTGTGGCCATCCGTGATGAGGTGGCGGATCTGGACTGGTTGCAGGACCCCATCTCTTCTTAAAAGACCGCGAAGCGAGTTCCAGCCCGCAAACTCTAGTCAATAGTTGTCTAACGACGCTTGCGTTCTGTCTGCAGGACTGCTGGAAAAAAGTCCTGGTCGGCACCCCTGCCTCGGAATGCAAAGCGCTAACGATGAGATCTTTGCATACCTGGGTGGAAGTCTACAATCGCTGGCAGGGCTTGGGTGGTTGGATCCCGGGCCAGGCACCCACCTTTCTGGACGCATACCAGTTCCAGGAGACAGTGGCTGTGCCGATGCTGAAGGCCCTGATCAAAATAGATGATGCAGTCGGCAGCAACATTAGGCACAACGTTTGTAAGATTGCCGAGATGGCAATTCAGGCCTTGGACTGGGTGAAGCTCTTCGACCCCGTGGCCCATGCCAAGCTTCAACAAACTCGCGCCGCCGCGGATTATCGGAAGGTTAAGGTATCTTGGCTCGGCGGGATCAAAAGTCGGCTTTGCAGCATCGGACATCCCACAGTCCCACAAAGGGCTTCTGGATTATCTGCTAGGGGCACTTCCTTTGCATCGCTTGAGAGCTTGAGGTTTGGACTCGCTGCCAGTACGAACCATCTCTGCACCAAGGTTTCCATGCCTTCCTTCTTTACTGCGGCTGTCTTTCTGTCAAACGCCATTTCCAAGAGGCCTTTGCTTTTGCATGAAGGGCAACCGTTTCGTACCATCTAATCTAACCTGTGTTTCACTTCGCTGAACTCAGACTCTGCATTGTAGCAGTCCGATAGGTGCTGTCAGCTTTGCAATGATGTTCCCATTTTCCGAAGGCAGAAGGTTCGCTTCTTGCTGGGCGTCTTTGACATAAATGACAATCGTACCTTTGAGATGACGGAGTTCGTGGACATGCTCTCTTCCTTTTTCCAGGGCATAGCGTGTGCATTCAACCTTCAAGGCAGCATGCCAAGTAACGCACGAAGACAGCCTTTGGCCAAGCAACTTTTTCTCAGAATACTGGAATCGGCGAAGAGCCGCCCAGCTACGGATGAGGTCAAGTTCATGCTTGAAGAGGGCTCCATTTTGTTCCCGGTTATTGAAGATTGGTTTCTGGGACTCACTGGGGATCCACTCTCCATCCCCTTCGCGTTGTTCCTTGAGCGCTTCTCAGTCCGCGGGCTGGAGGATGATCCAGAAGTGTTTGAAGAAGACGAGAGGAAGTTTCGCCTCTCTCATTCTACTCCTGTGAATCCACCAATGGAGACTGCTGCTTCGCTTGACTCGAGCTTCCTCCGGCGATCTCAGATGAAGGCAGGGGCGTTGCTGCATCTTGCAGGCTCGTTTGAGTTGCAGATCAGGGGTCCAGTGTAGTCGCTGAGGTGGTCCGGGATCTTTTCCACCACTGTTCATCCTCGAAGCACTTCGCCATCACCCACGCTGAAGCGGAGACGATAACGGGCACGTCCATTGAGCCAGAGTTTTGGATCAAGATGCTGTCGCGGCCGCTGGAAGACCTAGAGCAACTGCGACAGGATGGCGTGAAGTTCAACATAGGCCTCTTCTTTAAGAAGTTGTGCCCCAGAGCGACCACGCGACATCTTCGCATGTTTCAGACGTGGCTTAAGGAGCTGAGCCAGCTTGAAGAGCTAGAAGCCGTGGTTGAGGAGAATCGCCAGATGCTGGGATCCTTTCAGTATGCGATCACACGACCTGTCTTGCCTGCAGCCATCCGCCAAGAGCTCATGAATGACTTCGCAAAGTCAGAGATGAGGGAGATGGCCGCAAGGAACATGTCGACTTCCTCGGAGGCCGAGGACGAGGTCGCCAAGATGACCAAGGATGATTTTATTTTTGGCATCTGCCCCAAGGAATACCGGCCGAAGGATGGAAATCCCCTTGTAGAAAGTGTGGTGTGCCACTTCTTGACCATGCAGCAGGCCAAAACGGAGGAGCTGCTTGCACAGAAGAAACTGTTGTTTGCTCCCCAAGGTTGCCAAGTGCCGCTGAGGTCCTTCCTCAAACAGGAGGTTCCAGAGTCCTCATGGGCTCAGTGGAACCAGGCTTTCGATATCCTCAGTGGTGGTGAGGACCAGGTTACATTGAAGATGCTGGCTGACTCGCGGCTGCTCCCTCCAGAGGTTTGCCGCTTCTTGTGCTCCATGCTGGCCAGCAGCTTCAGTCAAGCAGTAGATGGTTTCTCGAGAGAAGAGTTTTTGCACAAGCTCGTTGACATCTCCGACTTTCGTCGTAGGAATGCCTAAACAATCCAATCTGTCGGCCGTCTGCGCAAGCCTTTTTCATGTGCTTGTCGGGGCCGGCGTTTGTTGCGGATTTGTTGCATGTAAGTCGTGCTGGTGGTCTCGCGGACGTTCTAACGAACCTTGTTTTTAGTTCATCATGAGACGCATCGTACACGACCCTCATTTTCAAGCATTTGCACCGACATCCGCGAGAACAGCACATCCACGAGGCATCAAGGCATCACCAAATCCGTGCCCAGCCGACAAAGGCAGCGCCAGTACTTCTGCCTTGTTACGCGTCCGTAATGACAAGATGGGGAAGCATGTCACGAAGCACTTTTGTTAGGTCAATTAGGTTAATTGGTGTTTCAATCCGTCTCGTGGACGACAGGACTGAGCACGGCAGAGTGGTGTCCATGATCTTGCGATTTAAGGCTGCTGAATCCACCGCAGAGACACAAGGTAGATGCTTGTGGGAGAGTAGCTCTTCTGCGGCGTTGTGCCCAAATATTTAGATCGACGAGACACGAGGAAGGCAGCAAGTCAACAATGTCCTTACATGCCTAGCTTAAGCTGAGCTTACCTTCAGGCTTGGGGCCTGCACGGCCCTTCACAAAGATGCGAATCTTATTCCTTCCAATCCGAGGACGATTTTATCTGTAGTTTGAAATCCTTCGATCCTCGACTTGCCTCGAGGCTTGGGCAGTTTTCGTATCGGACACCTCCCCAGACTTCTCACGGAATGCCGCTAGAAACCTTCTCGTTCTAGTTCTACAGTTCTGTACTGAAAACGCTGACATGTGAAATTTACCCATCAATGTAATATGATTTGATTTGCGGATGCTATACAGTTGATGGTCCATTGAGCCATGGCGGAGCCCGGGCAGTGGACAAGGAGGGAATTGGAAAGGAAATCCTGTACCTGCAAGTTGTGAGGTCTTGGGTGTGGTCGTCATCCGAGACTATATGTCTTCTCAATGTCTTGCATCACAAGATGCGCTTATTTTCCTCACAGGTTCTGGCATCTTCGCAGCCGCCTTCGAACCGTGACCAATACTGATAATACTGTTTTGGCGTGTTCATCTGCCCGGCTCCTTCAGCCATCAGTACGTGCAAGCATTCTGTCCGAAGATCTGCTACAGGCTTGCATGGCGTGTGGCAGACGCCTTCACGGCTCAAGTCCAGGTGCAAAGCACGTGGCTCTCCTGAAGCCGTGGTGACCTGAATCAACTGACAGCGTGACGGAATGGGCCACAAAAAAGACCAGCCGGATTCAAACTTGAAACTGCTCTGGCAGTGAAGTCGATTCCGAGTCTAGATCATGCATTCCCGGCGTCGCTCAGGACTCCGACAACTGCAACATGATGCCGCTGTTTCTCTGGGCACTGCAGCTGTCCTTTCCGCATCCGCGCCAGAGATCGGCAGAGCAGTGCACCGGTCAGGATCAAAAGGACATCGATATCCCACACCTACAGCGGTCTACAATTACAGTTTTTGTTTTCGCGGCTGTGGGGTGGGCTTCTTCTCGCTTCAGCCACCATGACCTCACATGTGTTGATTTGTCCTGCCATCACGGTTTCATCGGTTAGTGTCATGGGTATGACCAATTTCCAGATGAGCCAGTCTGAGGAACCCAATGATGGGGATAAACGGTTATCGAGACGCCGGTGATGTTACGTCCGTTTTGCTGTCGCTGCGGTTGCGGTAGTGCAGGCGTTTGTTGTCGACATTGTCAATCGTTGAAGCCACTGCATCATCGTTGCACAGTGTCCAAAGTGATTGTTGCGCCGTGTTTTGTGCCCGGCTTGCCAGACAGCACGTGACCAGCTAGCAAGACATAGCAGAGGCTGGACCTTTTTTTGCACTGACTGCACACCCCTGTACCAGCCTGCATTCAATGCATGGTGAGCGTCAAAACCCCTAGGGCCCACCCATGCCGATCCGACAGTAACCGGGGGAATCGGGGGCCAAAGGCAAGAGGCAAAGGGTACAAATGCCGCAAAGTGTAGTTGCCTGAAAGTGTGCTGGTAGGACCTGGTGAGGCAACCAGAGAGCGTAAATAGGTCTTCCAATTGCCTGTTTTTGGAACTGAGCCGGAGTTCTGCTCTATCGCAGAACTTTGTCTTTGGGTCCCAATTGCTCATTGCTTCGCCCAGCTGTTCTGGGAGCACTCTGAGCCCTAAGAGCCCTGACACCTGTCACAGCCGGTCGGCCAGAGCTGAAAGCATTGTGCTTGGGGCTTCAGGCTCAGGGGCTCTGACCGTTTGCGTGCTTTCGGCTGCAATCGAGCAGAGGAGCCTTCTACCAGCGCTGTGGAGGTGGAGATTCCCGAGCCACGAATGCTTCTCGTCAACCTACTGTCTTGCTGCTATTGCTAAACGAGTGTTCATTCCGACAGTGTGCAGTGCAGTGTTTCGATTCTGTCCAAGCGTTGCGTTGACGACCTCCTTGATGCATCCCAGAGGTTCAGCGATTTCCGATGCCTCGGATGGACACCGCCCGGACCCGACGACTCCGATGCAGCGGGTGAGGAAGCCAAAAAAGATTTTGGTAGACAGTTGAGCTTGCAACCGGAATTGCGAGATGCGGCCAGCTTTGTTTTCTGATTATCTTCCTCATTGTCCTTCTGAAGGCACGCGAGGCATGTGGACTGCACACATGTCATCAGTTTGCGTATAGGGGCCTGCAGTCGAGGCGGGGGAAGGGTTGGTTCCGAAACCACAATTGCGTCCTCCCGCTCGTGTCAGAGCGAGCCTAACTGCTTACACACTTGAACCCCTTTGCAAGCATGTAGCACTAACCCATGGTACGCAGGCATCACTCAGAAGCAACATTAGATTCCCAAACACTATACTCACTATACGACCGATGCGGGCTGGTGCTGTCATAGTGCGACTTATGACGACCGGGAGGCGATGAGCCTAGGCGTTGAAGGAGCTGAATTCAAAATGGAAGGCCCCTCAGCCGATGGTTGTGGATGTGTGATGAGGGCCCACCTTTTTTAAACCCCCATCCTTTTTTCGTTGACCCCCCTCATTTTGTTTTGACCGACCCCTGCATGCGCAGGCGCCCAGGGATACTTTCTTCTGACCCCCAACCCTTTTTTTTCGACCCCGCCCGTATCCCTTTTTGACCTCCCCCAACCTTTTTTTTCCACCCCGAACCTTTTTGTTCGACCCCCGGGTCAGGACACAGGGTCGAGATCGGGATAAAATCAAAAATAGGCGATATCAGGCGACATCCCGCCAACGGTCGTCAAGCGGTATGGAAGGATGCTGGAAGGCCAGACGAAAAGGAAGATGGTCAGGAAAGAGGGTCGAGATCCGGATAAGGTCGAAAGAACACGTCAAGGGTCAGAACAGCAGGTGGAGGGGCAGCCAGGCAGGTTCAGGGGTCAGAAAAACAGGCTCCAGGGCTCCGCAAAAGAGGATCGGGGGTCAGAAAAAAGGGAGGGGTCAGAAAAACACTGATTGGGGGTAATCAACAACGCTGCCCATTATGATGATGACGATGAGAATGACCATGCGAATGGTGATGGGGATGATCATGATTTCGACTTAAGGTAAGGAAAATTATGATGGTCTGGGAGTCTGGAGGCAACACTATAGACTATATATAGACCTGCTTACATCCTCTTTCCAGTCTGCAGCATCCTCTTTGTTTCAGAATTCCAGCAGGCATCGCCGGATGCAGGGGCATGCGCTCGCAAGGGCCTGCTGCTTTGCCACCGCATTCGCCCAGGCCTTTCAGAGACAGTGTTGAGAATCAGGTGCCCAAGGCTGGTTACAAAGAGTAAGACAGAGCCGAGCGAGGCTATTAGAACCGCCGGCCAGCAGGACACAGATGCACGACTGCAGAAAGAGTGCTGCCATGTTGCATCCTGCAGCCAAATGCTTCAGCTCACAACCTCCGCTATATACCCAAGACTGCGTAAGCTACAATCAAGACGTTATCCCGCTATGGTTTGATCATGCTTCGCCATTTTGTTGCTTCGGCATCCTAATGTACATACTTACGATATGCATGTGGTGGCTGATTGGCACCTTCGTGCTTGCCTCCGACCGGCTGTGAATGGATGCCGCGCGGCCGCGGCAGAAGTGCGAGCGTTGACAGTGGCCACTCGTCATGCAAGCTGTTGAAGCCGCATGCGAAGGGCACAAAGCTTGCGGACGGTGTTAGGCCTTCGGCGCCAAAATGATCTTTCGATGGCACTGAAGGCATGCTCCTTGGGCGCCCCCTGCTTGGAATGAAGCTCTGGTGTAGTGCAAACGTTAAGCTTGGTTCAGTGCGGCTCAGCAGGCAGTGTTCCCTGGCCTTGGATTCCGGGGCGTGCAAGCATGGGGTGGTGCTGAACTGGTTCTTGGGGTTTGGCAGTCACAACTCCAAATTGCCTACATTGCCTACATCACTCCAAGGAACAACATTTCACCAATGGGACCAGACGACGCTCTGAAAGTCAACGCATGACACTTTAGCGGATATGGAAAGCCAGGCAGCATGACCAACTCACAGTGTTGCCAATTATGTCTCAAGATTTTTCATGTCTCAACATCAGTTTCCGAGTGGGCAGGGTCAATCCGCCCCAGCGGATTTACAGAACGGGGAGCGTGTGATACTCGCACACATTCGCCAGCTAGCAGCTAGATTTCCAAGATATAGTATAATGTATGTATTCATACGCGACATATATACATGCATGCTTACATGCTTACATACGTATGTACGCACCAGCATACATGCATACAGACGCACATTTTCACAGACATACATGCGGACATGCATGCATACATACATGCGTGCACACACATGTGCGTGTAAATTAATAGATAATAAACAAATAACTATACATATATATATATGCACTGTATACTTTTTGTCAAGCTCAAATGCCGAGCCTGCCACAAACGCCCGCATATAGTTTCAGATCAATGTTTAGATGACAACAAATACGACAAACGTGCATCGCTATGTATATATATATATATGTAAGTTGTATGTGTGTATGTATGTATGTATGTATG